GTTTTATTGAGCTTGTCTGCAGTGAGCATGTATGTGTGTGTCAGTGAGCATGTCTGCAGTAAGCTTGTATGTGTGTGTCAGTGAGCATGTATGTATGTGTCAGTGAGCATGTCTGCAGTGGCATCTATGTGTGTTTTAGTGAGCTTGTCTGCAGTAAGCATGTATGTGTGTGTCAGTGAGCATGTCTGTAGTAAGCATGTATGTGTGTCAGTGAACATGTCTGCGGTAAGCATGTATGTGTGTCAGTGAGCATGTCTGTAGTAAGCATGTATGTGTGTGTCAGTGAGCATGACTATAGTAAGCATGTTTATGTAAGTGAGCTTGTCTGTAGTGTATCCCCCAAATGTAAGTGAGCTTGTCTGTAGTGAGCATGTGTGTGTCAGTGAGCTATATATTATAAGGAACTATAAGGATGTGGAATTATCTTCTTGAAGAGGTGGTTTTATCAGAGTCCATATAGATGTTTAAACAGACATTGGATAAATACTTGCAAAAACATAACATACAGGGATATAATTTCTAAATAGTGGGGTAATAGCTGCTTGGTCCAAGGAGATATCTGACTGCCATTTTTTGGGTCAAGAAGGATTTTTTCCTAGTTTGTTGCAAATTTGGAAGCTCTTCAAACTGGGTTTTTTGCCTTCTTTTGGATCAACAGCAAAACATGTGAGGAAGGTTGAGCTTGATAGACGCAAGTCTCTTTTCAGCTATGTAGCTATGTAACTTATATGCAATTTTTCCTGTCCAACCAAATGTTTTGCTTTTGTTTCCATTACATCTATGCACAATAAAACAAAAAATACATTTAAACATTACTTTACAGGACACCCAAAATGCTTTGAATTTTGGGGTGTTTTTTTTATTTAGTTATTTTTGCAAATTGGTTGGTAATAAATGGATTAAGACGAAGATACTCCACTACATTCTATTTAGTGGCTAAGCCTCTGTGCAAGATGTTATTCGAATCTGTGTTTTGTTACTATAGCTATTACTCAATTAATTTAGCTGTACTGAATTTGATAGTGCTAAATACAAACATGATTATAATAATAAGAGCAATGACTATAGGAACATGGTATATTTAAAAGGAAAGTAAACTCTTATGATTACAGGCAGTATTGGTACATGTGTGTATTCTATATCATAGTCATCTGTTTATGCTATTCTTCATGCTGTGTCCCAGCTGAATGTCCTGATCAAGCAATATATACATTCTTTACAATTTCAAAGCTGGTATGAGTTGGAAACCTTTCTTTTCTTCAGTCATTCATATTTCACATTTGTCAAATATTTGAACTCACTGGAAGTATGAAATGTTGGCCAAAAAGAAAACTCTAGTTGTTCATATTCACAATTATGGTGAGACCCAAATATGTTAAAGGGACAATATAACCACCAATACAACTTTAGCTTAAAGGACCACTATAGTGCCAGGAAAACATACTCGTTTTCCTGGCACTATAGTGCCCTGAGGGTGCCCCCACCCTCAGGGACCCCCTCCCGCCCGGCTCTGGAAAGGGGAAACTTACCTTTTTCCAGCGCTGGGCGAAGAGCTCTCCTCCTTCTCTCCTCCTCCGTTTCTCCCCGCCGGCTGAATGCGCACGCGCGGCAAGAGCTGCACGCGCATTCAGCCGGTCGCATTTACAATGCTTTCCTATGGACGCTGGCGTGCTCTCACTGTGAAAATCACAGAGGATTAGGGGGAAGGCTTAACCCATTAATAAACATAGCAGGGATGGGGTGAGCACCAAGGGATGGGGAGAGTGTAGGAGAGAGCACTAGGAGACAGTGTCAGGATTACTAGTTGATCCAGCACGTAGAATTGTGTCACACAGATGACTAATAGGAAACGTATTACCGGGCCTTAGAATGGCTGGACTTAACGTACCAAAGAATTGTCAGGATACTTGCTGAGGTCAGGGAATACAGAAAGAGAAACAACGATAAGGGAAAGCCAGAAGTTAGGGATACTAGAATACAGGGAAGTCAAAATCAAAGCCAAAGTCAAAAACCAGAAGAAACTTGAATCAGGAACGCGATCTCGGACAACCGCAAGGAAAACCACGACAGGGCACTGAACAGGATGAGAACTGGGCCTAAATACCCCTCCTCTAGATCTTAGGCTGACTTTTGACCCCAAAGGCAGTTACCAGGTTCCCATTTGCATAATTGCTGCTCAGCATTAACCCTTCTGTGGATTTGACAGTAAATGCCATTAACCACATTCTTATAAGCGGATGAATACGTGACAGACATCTAAGGGATGGGAGGGGATAGCACTATGGGAAAGAGGGCAGGGAGATCACTAAGGGACAGGGAGAGCACTAAGGGACAGGAGGGGAGAGCTCTAAGGGATAGGAGGGTGGAGCAGTAAGGGACAAGAGGGGAGAGAGGCTGAGGAAAGGAGGAAAGAGAAGCACAAAGGGGCTGGCAGGGCTGAGCTCCTATCCTACCCCACAAAAAACTCTCTTTCACACTACACACATAATGCTTCCCTATACATACACAGAAACACACAATGCATCCCTACACACAGAAACACACCATGCTTCCAATACACATATAGAAACATACAATGTATCCATTACACACAAAAACAATGCATCCCTTGCACACATACACAGAAACACACAATGCATCCCTTACACACACACACACACACACAAACACACACACACTGCTTCTCTTACACACACACAGAAACACAATGCATCTCTTACAGACACATACACTGCATCCCTTACATGCACAGAAACACACCTTGCATCCCTTAAACATACAAACACAGATTCACACAATGCATCCCTTAAACACAACAAGAAACATACAATACATCCCTTACACACAAACACACACTGCTTTCACTACACACACTGCATCACCTACACAAACTGGTATCCCTACACACTACATTCCATAAGCACACACTTTAGAACCTCTACACTTACACGTAACACATCCCCTACACACTCCACTTCCTGTGAGCGAACTCATGGGTGGAACATGTAGGTGGACTCATGGGTGGGCCTTATGGGCATACTCACCATCAGGCCCTGGGGCCCCAGATCTTGAGCTGTGCAAGGGGCCCAAAAAAATGGAGCTGCTTCATGTTCCCCCAGAACATTGACTTTTGTGACCACAGTTCCAAACAGCCGCCAGAGATCCTGTTCTACACCAGACCAGTGGGACCAGACTGCAGCCAGAGCCCATCACCATCCTCATCTGGTTGTAAGTAGGCAATCTAATATATTATTTGTGGCACTAATCTCTAATTTACCTCGCATTAAAGGTAGACTATAGTCGCCAGAACCCCTGCAGCTTAATGTAGTGGTTCTGGTGTCTATAGCCTGTCTCTGCAGGCTTTTTAATGTAAACACACACTGCATGCAGCACTGGCATTAGTTCATATGGCAGATCATATGGGTGGGGCATTGTGATTTTACATGGGGCGTCAAATTTTTATTTTGCCTAGGGCGGCAAAAATCCGGCCCTGCCTTTCTCTATTAGCCAATATGAATAAAGACTGAATCCTACTAGCTTCAATGGAAAAAGGATCATTGGTGACTGCAATAGCCTGGATCCCTAAAGAAGGAGACTATATACAAAATAACATACTAAATACAACTTGCATTTTTAAATATTGATCCTTATCTAAAAAAATTATAATAATAATTTATGTTCTTGAAAATTAAAACAGCTTTTCAGAATAGATAGTTGATTGAAATTTTCCATGGATTACTGTCAAGGTTATTAACCAAAGTGAGACTTGTTGGGAATTTAAAGAAATTCACAGCGAATTTCAAATGTTAGGACAAAATAGATTAATTTTAAGCATTGCTTTTTCAATTCAGCTATTTTGTCCTTAAACGTGAAATACATTTTGAATCATCCTTGAATTTCCTACAATGCTCTCTTTGCAAATAACTGTGTCCATCTAAACTATAGTTGCTATATAATCTTCTATGATTCTATTTGCAAGATAAACATCCAATATCTGAAATGTATTGACACGACCACAGGATCTTTAGATAGGAGTACATTCCACATATTAGCTGCCCTAACTGTCAAAAAACCTTTCACTATATGTGACATTAATTCTTTTCTTCTAAACCTTAATGACTACTACTACATTTTTATTTTAGTCCTTGTTAATCTTTAAAAGTGAACTCACTCCATTTTGGTGCATTTAAATGAAAGAAAGAAAATATTTGACATAGTGTATAGGTTAAAGGTTAGAGACACTGTGGTTTCTCAATTAGGCATGTAAATGAAACATTCATTATCTTACATGCTGAGAAGTTGATGAACTGTGCAATATGTCTAAGCCCACAGTCAGTAGTAAGATAAACCATTTAAGGCAATACGGCGCAAAACCCAACGTATGTCTTTTCAGGCTCCTCTTGATTGATTATTTACTGCATAATTGTATTTTACTTTGGATTAATACAGTTTAGCAAAGTCAAAAGCTGAGGAGCCTACTTACACATAAACAACAGCTATGTTGCGACACAAACCTTAAACCTGTTTATAAGTAGTAGCGATCACCAGGTTTCTTTGAGATAGTACAAAATAAAATTGTTGACAGCATATCACATCCACAGTTGTAAGAGTGCTCTGCAGGGACCCCTAATACGTCAGGTGTTTGGGATGTTCTTGTACTGTTAGACCAGTCAGTGGCTTTGCCATTTTGACTCATCCACATATGCAAACATAAGACAGATATTTCAGATTGTTAAATAAAATATCCTGAAACTGTTAGTGGGTTCAGTCAAGTATTTAAAAATATGCGCTGGTAAATACAAATGTGTCTGTCCAGGAGATAGGGCTCAGAATTTTGGTGCAATTTGTGAAGTGTTCTACAATAAATAAAGGTCATATAAACACTTGTATGAACTCTGTATGAAATAAATAATGTTGTATGGGTTGTTGTATGTGCTGCAGTTGTCAGGCATCCCGCGATCCCCTCCGGCAGTCCATCTGACGCTGCACGCTTGCGTGAAGTGTGTATTTATGAGAAAGAGGAGGATGCAGCAACTAATGAATAAGATGGAATACTGTATGAAAGTTACAGTATTAAAAGTTAAGTCTTATTACAGATATTGTTTCATTCATACAGTATTCCATCTTATTCATTAGTTGCTGCATCCTCCTCTTTCGTTTTTTGTTTATTGTCTACAACAGGGGTTACCCCCCACTCTGGAGGTATGCACAGGCTTTAATTTATTTATTTATGCTCTTTCCTTTTTCTTTTCTTTTCTGTACAAGTCTCACGTGTATATATGCGCTACCGAACAAACTGCAAAATTTGGCGGTATTCGGTAGAGGTTAGGTTAGAAAGGTCAAGTACCTTCCACGAATAGTGGTCAATTCCAAGTGGAATTGGACCAATCAAAATTAAGTGATGCCTATTTATACTTACCTCTCCCATTCCTTGTTCCTTGTTGCCCTGTTGTGGTTTTTGGTAGCCCAATAGCGCAGTCCTTTTGTGATATTCTGAATATATTTCTGGCTCTTGTCTTATGTTTATCCTGTCTTCTTTACTCCTTTTGACCTCGGCTTGATTATACAATATTCCTGTTTTCTCTACTCCATTTGACCTCGGCCTGTTTCTGACTCCGCTTGTTCGTTAAGCCGGCCATTCTAAGGACCGGTATACGGATTCTCTTTTAGTGATTCTGTCTATGTGTTCATGTTCCAGCATATCCTGACAGCAGTGTTGAATACTGTTTGCTGTGACACTACATATTCTAGAGGTTTTAGTAAGTGAATTTACAATCTGGAACCCAAGAAGTTCACACTCTCCCAATGGATGGATGTGGAAAGCAGTTGATTTATTGGCATATAAAAATATTTATCTAATTATTTTTTTATATGCCAATAAATCAACTGCTTTCCACATCCATCCATTGGGAGAGTGTGAACTTCTTGGGTTCCAGATTGGTGTTACTGCATCCAGCAGGATATACCCCCCTATCTACAGGGGTGGCAACTTGAAGGCTCATTACATACAACCGATCTGTGAGTGTAACCTTGAATCACTGGGCAATTAATAAGACTACAACAATATTACACTATATTGCATTTTTTATTTGTGTTTTAGTGATACAAGCTGGATCCCTATTCTATATGCACTATACAAAATTACATCAATGAACTGAGACCCTACTTGTCCAGTGCATGTCATACTAGTTTTACAGGGCACTGCTTCCGGTTTCATAGGCTCACAGTACTGACAATACAAAATGTTTTTTTCATTTTTTAACGTGTACCTGTCACCTTATCCTCATGTGTCTCTTCCAACTGTCCCTTCCCATTGTCTATACCAAGTAACACACTATAGTAGTCACTTTTTGCAGTTCAGACTGCAATGCTTATCTGTGACCAATTGCCACCGCTACTCATATTCCCAATTATCCTCAGAGATCTCTAACAAACCATTAAAAATAATGCATGATCAGGGCATAACCAGTCAATAAATCCTCTTTGTAGTGCCTGGCATATTTGACAGTTTTGTCTGAGTTTTAGTGCGGTAACGCGGTATTAAAGGTAAGCCATTTACCTGTTGACAGAAAGGTCGTATAAGGCCGAGACCTACTCTTAGTATTTGCAGGTTACTCTGTAAAGGTCTAGCGTGTGTATTAGAAATAAATTGGGGATATCTTTTGAGATTGGACACAAAGGTCTTGCAAACTGAAAATTTAATAAACAAACAGCTGTTGGGAATAAGCTGTAATAGCTGCTATTAAACTCCATTAGCAATCTTGATGGCTTGCTTGAATTTGATGCATCATTTATTCAGTACTTTCATGATGTTTTAGAAAAAATATGTAGATTTATAAAACAAGGCTATCTAAAGCTGTATCATATTATTTTGTATCAGTGAATTAAATGCATTTGTTTTAAGTCCTAGGAATTAAAAAGAGAGCTGGTTAAACCTCTGACCCTCTCAGCCAATCACATTGCTCTTCAGAGTTAAAGCTGAAGCAATCCTTTCAGCTATTGACACTACACTTGAGAAAGTATTTATTTTCTTTCTGTTTCATTTTGTCTAATATTTTTTAGTGGACATGAGCATTTTTTGGGGGATATGTATTTTAGGGTTAGGAGGTAAAGTTATATTATCTACAGTGACTTATCTAGATTTGCTAAATATAAAGTAATACTATTTTAAAGATATTCTTTTGCAAGCTAAATTTGGGGAAGACATTATCACAGTTAGATATGTGTGAGTAGCTATGGAATGATTTTATTTTTAATTTAGTGGCCACTTAATACCAGTGGTATTGGGCATATCCCTGACATTTAACACCTATCTTGAAGCAACATTTAACAGCTGTTTTTAACAGACTACACTGATCAGCCACAACATTAAAACCACAGACAAGTGACTTGAAAAACATTAATTATATCGTTACAATGGCATCTGTCAAGGGGTGGAATATATTAGACAGCAAGTAAACAGTCAGTTCTTGCATTTCATGTGTTTGAAGCAGGAATAAAAAGGGCAAGCGAAAAGATCTTAGTGACTTTGACAATGGCCAGATAGTAATGGCTACATGACTGAGTAAGAGCATTTCCAAAATGGCAAGTCTTGTGCGGTGTTCCCGGTATCCAGTGTTAAAGTGGTGAAAGGAAGGACAACCAGTGAACCAGCGCCAGGGTCATTGTGCCCAAGGCTCATTGATGCACATGGGGAGCGTGGGCTAGCCTGTCTGATCTGATCACACAGAAGAACTACTGTAGCTCAGATTGCTAAAAAAAAATGACAGTACACACAGTGCAACACAGTTGGCTGGTATGGAGCTGCACAGCCCAGTCAGAGTACCCATGACGACCCCTGTCCACTGCCGAAAGTGTTTGAGCATCAGAACTGGCCACAGAGCAATGGAAGAAGGTTGTCTGGTCTGATGAAACTCGTTTTCATTTAGATCAGGTGGATGGTTGGGTGTGTGCGCATTGTTGATAGAGATGATAGCAGGATGCACTATGGGACGAAGGCAAGCCGGCGGAGGCAGTGTTATACTCTGGGCCATGTTTTGCTTGGAAACTTGGATCCTGGCATTCATGTGGATGTTACTTTGACACTTTCCACCTTCCTAGAGATTGTTGCAGACCATGTACACCCCTTCATGGCAATGGTGTTCCTTGATGGCAGTGGCCTCTTTCAGCAGGATAAGGCAACCTTCCCCACTGGACAAAATGTTCAGAAATGGTTTAGGAGTATGCCAAAGAGTTCAAGGTGTTGCCTTGTCCTCCAAATCCAATTGAGCATCTGTGTGATGTGCTGGAACAACAAGCCCATGGAGGCTCCACCTCACAGCTTTCAGGACTTAAAGGATTTGTTGGTAATGCCAGATACCACAGGGCTGCCACTTGTAGACTTCTGGAAATTAATAGATGGACACTATAGCACTTCTGGGGAGAGGAGACACTCCCAATTGATTGAAACAAAGCATAGAATGGCGATCACTGTAAAAAAAGAAATACAGAAAGTTCCTTTTAAACTAACATTATAAAAAGGACAGAAACTCTCATAATACCATGCACCTTAAAGAAGAGTAAGCAACACGTTTGTCTGGGAGAGACCCATTTGGTTATTTAGAATTCACAGTGAAGACTTGTTATAGCTATCTCAGTGTTTCAGATATATTACTGTTAAATGGAGCCAAGATTTATGGCTCAGAAAAACATGAGTTTATAATTATACTGAAAACATCTAAGTTGTTTAATATAGGCAGATTATGCTATAAAAATGGGTTTCTACGTTTTGTGTTTAGATGGAAGAATGGTCATTTTACTGTGAGTATGTGGTGTTTTGATCCCCAGACGCTTTTCTGGGGCAGCTTGCTCCGATAGCTTGGGTTTACCAGCGTAGATTACAGTGTCGTCTGCATACATGTGTACAGTTGAGGATTTGCAGACGTTAGGCAGATCATTTATAAATAATGTGAATAGCAGGGGGCCGAGTATGGATCTTTGGGGAACACCACATTTGACTGCAAGAGGGAGGGAAGCGCTATCAAAAATTGCCACGTATTGCAATCGGTCTGAAACATACGATCAAAACCAGGTTAGCGGACGATCACCAACGAATGAGTTTTTACGTTTTTGCAAAAGAATGCCATGGTCTACTGTGTCAAAGGCCTTGGCAAAATCAAGGAAAATAGCTCCAGTTAAGTCTCCTTGTTCTATGCTAATTTGGATGTCATTGCAAACTTTGAAGAGGGCAGTCAAAGTTGAGTGATTTGAATGAAAGCCTGATTGATCAGGTGTCAGATAATTTGATCGTTGATAATATTGACATAGTTGCGTGTGGACGCATTTTTTCAAGATTTTTGACAATACCGGGAGCAATGATATTGGGCGATAGTTAGATACCAAAGTATTGTCACCACTTTTATGGATAGGTACAACTATTGCAGTCTTCCAAAGTTTGGGTATGTATCCTGACACCAGGGATTCATTGATAAAGGTAGTGACAGGTTCAGCAATTGCTGGCACACTGAGCTTTAGCAACATTGCAAGGATTTGATCTGGTCCACACTGGTTTTGCATTTTTAAGTTATTAAGATGTTTATTAACGACACTAACAGGCACAGGTCTAAAATGGAATTTATCTATATGAGGATTTTGAAGGTTTGGCAGGGCCTGATCTTTATTTGTGGTCTGAAAATGAGTGTTATTTGTTATCTTAGCAACCAGGGTGGTAGCACATCCAACAAAATCATTATTAAAGGCATTTGCTACATCTAGGGGGTGTTGCAGTGTTTTAATTGTCCATTGTGACAGTGGAGGGTTGGGAGTGGATTGTGGGGGTTTGTATGCTATTTATGATATTCCTGAATTTCTTGGGTTTTATAGGTTGTTGTTCAAATTTTAACTGAAATATTGGGCCTTTGCCATTTTTGTTTGTTTTGTGCATGCATTTCACCAATGTCTGTAAGTACAGTGATCGTTCATGGAGCCAGTACGCTTGAACTTTGACCACAGTGAATCTCTAAACTGGTACATTTGAATGAAGTCAGCTGTAACCCAGGGCAGGTGTGTCCCTTTTAGTCGCACTTTACGCAGAGAGGCATGCAAGTTCCAAGCAAGCAACAGCTCAGACTGAAAAAATGCAATTGCAGAGTCTAGATCAGGTATTAGACCTAATCTGTGCCATGGTATGTTC